CCCTTCACCCACTCGCCTGTTGTTCGCCGCCCTCCCCCCCAGGAAGTGGTGTATGTTGATCATTGCGATCGGTTCCTCCCCCCCTACCTTTTCCCTGCTTTCATGGTATCACTGTTCTCATGATTGGTCCTGAGCGGTTTATCTGTCCTGAATTCTATGTGTCGAGAGCTCTTACTGTACCCATGTACATGCTCTGGTCTATCCAGATTTGTAAGGTAGAACTGGGGTCATGATGAGGGGGTGGCATTAAAGAACTAGAGGAATGTGTGTTTCTAGTTCCTCTACTGCGCCCTAGCTGGCTCATCCCTTCCTTGTGACCCTTCTGTGAGGTGATGTCCAATCGTCTACAGATGGGCTTTGGGTCCACTCCCCTTGTTCACATTTGGGTCTTCTGATGCTTGATACCTGATGCCATCAACACCTTATGATCACACGGGTTGGTGTGATTCTTCCATTTTCTAATTCTTAAGACAAACCTATCTTGCTCGAAGGACGGGTGATGGCAGCATTTGTGAAAGCTATTTGCAAGCCGTGTAAAGTATCCTACAATTCTCTCTATTTTTTGCCTGCCCGGTGACAGAGTCAGGCAGCTGTCCCTTTAGCATAGATATTCTAGGACTGCATTATCATTTGCAATCACGTAAAGATTTACCATCTCGGGGACCCCATAGGGTCCCTGTAAGTCTGAATTGAGTCCATTACAGTGGGGTTGGCATTAGGTGTCTGCCATTAAATAGAAAGGGGCATTGCTGATGTGTAGTTAGATTTGTTAGGGAAGTGGAGGCTCGGCAGCTTGAGGGACTTTTGCAAGACTCGGTACCCCAGAGCCAGGAATCTTTACACTTGACCTATGGTGTTTGTGTGTGTGCGCATGTGCATTTGGTTGTGATTTGGCGGAAGGTTCACAGAGCAGATTAGATCGAACAATTGGCAGACATTTTGTGTCATGGCATTAGTTGCAAGCCCATCCATGTACCAGTATGCTTCCCACATAACTCCACTTGCAATCAACCTTCCTGCCTCTCCTTTCCTGTGTCTCGACTTTTGTTTTGGGGCAAATGCTCCCTTTTGGTCTCTTCTCGTGCATTTTTTTCAGAGGAAAACATTCCTGAGAGGTGTTATTGTTCACGTCATGGTCCTGTCTGTGGTTTGGCTGACAGGGAATCCTGGGGGTGGGTTCACACTGCGGTAGGAAGGGTGTGTAAGGCCGACAGATGCAAGGATTCCACCTGTCTTTTATCAAACCAATGAAATCTGGTCCTTTTATGATTTTGAATTTTGTTTTCAATGTTTTCTTCTTCTCTACTATTGTGATAGGCACTAGAGGAGTCTGTCGTGGTAACAGCACCGTGTGGATCGTCTGGTCTCAGACTAGTGAAGGCTGTGGTCCCCGGGGCCCAGCCATACATTAGATTCAGGGTTCCTTGGGTCTTTGACTCTTTGGACTCTGCTTTACTCTGGACGGCGAGAAACCAACAGTTGCATTTTAGATGCCCACTTGAAGGTTTTTAAGACCCTAGGCACTGCCCACCGAAGGAGCCTGTAGCACCGTGTCCTTGTGGACTGTGTTAGACCAGTGGACTAGACGACGTCCAGACCGTGGTCCCGAGCCTCCAAACCAAGTAACGCAGCTCTTCCAGGTGTTGGGTTTTGTCAGCTATGATGTTACCACTTTTGTGTTAAAGAAGTATGTCCTAAATACAACCAGACCGACGACTAAGATACGATTGCTGCCCTCAAGGGGGATGCAATGAAAATAGGTGTATGCTCCACTTGTAAAAATGCTAAAATGTAAACACCTACTTTTTAGCATCTGGTGTTGCTTCCTTAGGACGAGCTATAGATGGGCACGTTCCTGGAGACGTGAATGGTTTTCCAGTCTCTAAAGCTACCTCAGCACCTATAAGCCATTCAGTTTCTTCTGCAAACCATTTGGAGCAACATTTTTCAAGGAAATGTGGGAATTCAAAGATGTTGTAATCATAACAAATGTTCATATATGTGCCTTTTTAAAAATAGTTTTATTGGCATACACTTCACATAGCGTACATCTATTTTTTTACTCTTGCAAAGCATGTTTTCACATCATTTGATTTAGTCTTTGTATCCCTACGAAGGAGCCTTAGTGGCAAGGTTAGCAGTTTGAGACCACCACCCACTCTGTAGGAGAAAGGCTGGGCTTTCTACGCAATAAAGAGCTACAGTCTTGGAAACCCGGCATCTCCTGTGGGGTCGCTGTCAGTCGGCTGGCGTCGACTTGAGGGCCGTGGATGAGCGAGTGCCCTGGGAAGGGAGGTTATCTCCATCTACAGGGGGGGCAGTTGGGGCTTGCAAATGCTAGGCCACTTGCCAGGTTGCCCAGCAGGGATCACTGGAGCCAATGCACGTGCGTGACCTGCAGGATGATGGCGTGGGGTTAGGAGTTGATAGAACAGATGAAGCCCTAAAAGAAGGATTGGAATGATGCTCCCCTTTCCGTATCGGAATGACTAATATCTTCATTTGGAATAAGGGGTGAAGGGAGTGGGAAATCCATTTTCTAATTTTTTGACTTAAGAATTGTGTTTTGCCTTTTTAAGGGAGCCGTGGAAGCAGAACTTTTGAGCTCTGTTGTGGACGGGGTGAGGTGCGCGGCACAGATCACCAGTTGCACAGCCGACAGCGCAGGCGCATTTTGTTTCATCTCACTGACCGCAACCCCACAGTGTGGCGTCACTCTTCCCACCCCCTCCTGAGTCTCCTGGTCCTCGTCCTCTCAGGGCGGGTTTCGTTTTGCTTTGCTTTGGTAGTTGGGCTTCTAAATTACGGAACTAGAGTGCCATTATATGATGGGCAAACCAGACGTAAGGAGCCGTGCTAATGTAGTGGTTCAGCGTGGCTCGTAGCCAATATGTCACCGGTTTAATTCCCACTCGGTAAGAAAGCTAAAGCAGACGCTTTGGGACAGTGGTTTTGCTCTGTCGTATTGGGCTGCCGTAAGGAGCCCTCGTAGCACGTGTGGGCACGCATGGGCACGCATGGGCCTGTTGACCGCATGGTGACTCAGACCGATCCGCTGCTCCGGGGAGAAAGATGAGGCTACTTGTTTCTGTAAAGATTTACAGCCTCAGAAACCCAGTGTAGGCGCGCAGTGAGTCTGACGCAAGTTTATGGCTATAGATTGAAAGGGCTGCTATGAGTTAGAATCAACTCAAAAGCAAAGGGTTTGGAGTTTTAAAGTAGATCTGGAGGAATTACATATGCAAAGCATTGGGGGGAAAATGCTTTCTTTTTTGGTAAGGATAAAATAATAATAATGCAAAGTTAAAAAATACAAATAATGAGTCAGAAATAAAAGACCACCATCAATATTTCAAAAGTCAGGGAAGAAATGTTTGACATGGGGAAAATGCTTTCTTTTGAAAGACTGGTAATTTGTTCTTAGCTCCATCGGGATCTTAACATTTACAAAGTAATCTTGACGTATTTTCCTTAGGAGAACATTCTTATTTCAAACGCCTTTGCAGGGACAGTGCATTATTCCATGTGGCTTTTCTACCCAAAGTCTCTAACTCCCACCAAGTGACCTTTTCCTACCTGGGTTTGGTAAGAAGGTGGAGGGAGAGACTGCTAGGATTCACCTGTGAGTAATGATGAACAGGCTTCTCTGGACCCAAGATTCTTATGCAGTGATCCCCTGGATGCAGATGACAGCTATACTGTCAGAGCAGCAGCCGCAGAACCCGGAGCCAGAGCTTGGACAGAGTGATGCACTTCCGACCCATGGAGACAGGGCAGCCCAGAGCTTTTGTGCCCGAAGCTGGCTTGTGGCGTGGGGTGCCTCTGGCAATTTAATTGGGGGAGTTGGACTCGCTGACCCGTGGAAGTGGGGCTGGTTGCCTTCAGGCTGAGGCTCACTGGAGTGGGGTGCTCTGGCCACTTGATTCAGAAAGTTGGGCTTGCTGACCCACAGAAGTGGAGTGGGGTGCCTTTGGGCACGTACTGGAGGGAGCTGGGTCTGCTGAGCCTTGGAGCCGGAGCTGACTGCCTTGGGGTTGAGGCTTACAGCAGAGTGGTATGCCCCCTTGGGCATTTATTAGCAGACCTGAAACTTTGTAACATGTCTTGGTAGACAACTAAGTAACTACCTTGAGCATGTCTCACTGGGTTAGAATGTGTGAGTAATTCCCTTAATGAACATTTACTAATGAGTTTTGCCTGTGAGTTCTGTGTCGTTATTACAGGGGATTAGAACCCAGAGAGAGCAAGTGGAGAATACCAGCTAAGTCCCTGCACTGCTGCTGGTGGTAGCTGCTGTGGCGTGCGCCCCAGACCCATGGCAGCCTTATGCACAATGCGATTGAACTGTTGTGATCCTTGGCTTTCAGGTGGTCCGTTTTGGGGTGAATTAGATCAGCAGGCGTTTGCTTCCTTGTTTTGAAGCTCGTGGCAACACAAGCGCCTTTAGTGGCAGCACGTGGGGGCTGTGCTTGAGATGAATTGGCCAGACATCTCCGCAAAGGTAGGGCTGTCCTACAGCCTGACCGACACAGGGCAGCACAGAATAGGGATAAGAGAACGGGTCCCCTAATTTGTATTTCTCTGTAGCTGCTTGAGGTATATTCCAAGGGGGGAGAGGTAGTTAGTTTATTGTGCCAGCCTGGCCGATAAACACATGTGGGATTAATTGAAGGGCGGAGAGATAAAGGGCTCGGTGAGCCTCCCCTTTCTTGTCTCTCGCTCTGTGATCATCGGGCCAGTGTGAGGCTGCCTTGCTTGTTCTGCGCCTCAATTTACAGGCTACACTACCTGTGGGACGCCTAGCCTGTGGACTGTGTCACTGTAACCTGAGGTCCCTTTAGGACCACACGATTGAAATTTATATATCTCTTGAGCTGGGGACTGACAGTTGGTGACCTGGCTGACTGTTGGTCACCTGCCTTGCTGTTTGCTGCCTGTGCTGGGATAGCCTGAATTGCTCTACAGAGGACTACCGGGCGGCCCTCAAGACTTGAAGGACTGCCAGTGTTTCACAGCTCTCTCACGGGAGTGAGTTGCACTGAGCCATTTGTACTGCTTTATAATTTAACTGTTTATTTCTTGTATTATATATCTTTCTAGCTGTTTATAATTTAACAGTTCATATTTTGTGTTATATATATCTATCTTTATAAATATATATGTGTATAAAATTATCAGCAATCTGGTTTTATCTCTTTAGAGAACCCTATCTAGAGTTTATTTATGGTGGGCGAGCATAATAATTTTTGCTTAACCAAACAGTTGCTTATTTTGTTGTGGTACGGGGGCTCTGCCTTTGATTGGGTTGTGTAATTCTAAGTCTTCATTTTCTTCAAAGGGTGAAAGTTAGGGCTAGCAAGATGGTTCAGTAGGTGGTCAGACAACACAAGTGATTGCAGCTGTTAGTGGGGGTGGGGAACTCACTTGGATTTGTGGTTAGCCGGGTCTGTAATATATTGCAAATCTTTTGTTTCACATGTAAAGTGGGCCTAAGATATTGTTCCAGAAAAAAGGCATTGTTCAGTCATCAACCTGAGTCAGAGAGAAAGCCGAAGTTTGTAAATTCAGTCTGCGTTATGTTCCAGGGTGTGTGCGTGTGTAAGAGATAGAGAACTGAAAACTCGGGGCATTTGTGATTTCCTAAGATTGTTTGCCTAACACTTGGAGAGCTAAGGTTCAATCCTAGCTCGTCTGCCCATGTGGATTGTGATAGCCTTCTTGGCACTCAGAATTGTCTGTTCAAGTGGGGATGTAGAAATTATAGTTGAATATTTTACTGGTAAAATGAGAACTTGTTTTTTAACCTTATTTTGTTCTCAGTACTTTTTATCTCTCTCTTTTTAAAAAAATTAGCACTTTACTGTGAATTGGATGAATTCAGAGCAGATCCATTCAACAATTCACGCACATTTTGGTCTGTGCATTGACTGCCATCCCCACAATGGAACATCCCCACCCCCCTTCCTCCCTTTGTGTCCTGTTTCCAGCCGTCCTGCCCCTTCTGAACGCTGTCCTTGCTGCCTCTGGTCTCTCAAGTGGCTGATAGTTCTAAGGTGTTTCTGTCCCCCTCGTGCCCTGTTTCCCCGAAAGTGAGACATCCTCCGAAAATAAGACCTACTTAGTTTTGCCTCTCGCTGAAATATAAGGCATCCCCCTGAAAATAAGACCTCCCCGAAAATAAGGTCCCCCCAAGCTACCGTAACTCTGGACTCTACGGTAGCAGTGGGCGCCCCCATGCAGCTCACTGTTGGCCACAGCGCAGCCGGAGCAAACAGGAAGTGCGAGGTCTCTTAATAAAACAATAAATGTGTACCGTATTCTTCTTCATGGAAAAATAAGACATCCCCTAAAAATAAGACGTAGCACATCTTTGGGAGCAAAAACTAATATGACACTGTCTTATTTTCGGGGAAACAGGGTATTAGTCCCCTCACAGACCTGTGAGTTGTTGGGCTAAAAAGTGAACCCCGGGGGAGGGCTCAGTTCCAGGCCTGAAGGGTGACGAAGCACCATAGTCTCGGGGACCCCTAAGCTTGGTCTTTTTTATGGTTTTGAGTTTTGTCCCAAATTTTTCTCTGACTTCATCCAGGATTTTCTAATGTGGCTCCTTTCTCGTCTCAGGGGCGTGGAGACTGGTGTTCACGTGGTCCATTATTAGTGCGCTGGACTGATTGTTTCCATCTGTCTCCAGTCTCCACCACTCTTCTGTCTTCCGGACAGAGGGAGGGAGACCAGGAACTGCACTTTCGATGGCCTCTCAGGGGCTTTTGAAGCGCCGGTCGCTGTTCACCAAAGCGGGATAGAGAGCAGTTGATTGTGGAGTATGTTGTGCCACTGACCTACGTGAGCCCTGGGACAGTATGGCCGGTAGCTCCCAGCCACAGCGCTCCCTCCTTCAAGGTGTCGGGTCATGTCTGAGACACGTCGTAGCTTTGCCCTTGTGGAACGTGCTGTCAGGAGAGACCAGTCCCTGGAGAAGGACAGCATGCTTGGTAAAGCAGAGGGCAGCAGAAAGGGGAAGCCCCGCCACAGGACGGGTGGGTAAGGGACCTCACCAACTGGCTCGAGCTCAGCAGCCTTTGAGTACTGCGGGGCAGGACCAGCGGTTTTCTTGTTTTGTTGTACGAAGGATCGCTCTGAGTCGGCGCCCACTTGGCCCCTGACAACAGCAGTGTTAAAGGAATAATGTATATGCTATTTAAATTCACCGGTTCTAAGTGTACAGTTTAGTGATTTTTGGACATCTATACAGTGTACAGTCATTACCACCATGTGGTTTTTTTGGACATTTCTGTCACCACAGAAGGAAACTTCTGTGTCTACCCACAGCCACTCCTTATTGCCACCCCCCCACCCCTCCGTGGCAACCATAGCTCTGTCTTCTGTGTCTGTGCCTTTGTCTCCTTCTCTCTCTAACACGTCATATCAGGAGAAGCTCAGGAAGGGTGGTCTTCTATATCTAGCTCCTTTTGCAGAGTACACGTTTTTGTTGTCTCATCCACGTTTTGGCGTATACTTTGTATCTCCTCGTGTTGATCTACTACATTTTAGGTATTCATTAGTTGATGGACGATTGGGTTGTTTCCACTTTGTGACTATTAAGAATAATGCTATGAACACTTTTGAATCATTTTATTAGGGCCTCATACAACTCTTATCACAATCCATACATACATCAATTGTGTAAAGCACATTTGTACATTCATTGACTTCATTATTCTCAAAACATTTGTTCTCCACTTAAGTCCCCCGCATCAGTTCCTCATTTTTTCCCCTCCCTCCCAGCTCCCCACTCCCTCATGAACCCTTGATAATTTATAAATTATTATTTTGTCATGTCTTGCCCTGTCCGACGTCTCCCTTCACCCACTTTTCTGTTGTCCGTCCCCCAGGGAGGAGGTCACATGT